TAGGGTTTAGGGTTTAATGCTTCGGGTGTAGGAGTTTCGGGATTGAATGGGTCCGGCCAATCGAAACCTTTGGAACTGCCAGAATGGCCCATACTTTTACAAACTGCACTTAACCATTATCATTTACTTGTTTACATATATGTACTACTATCGAAACCCGACTTTCATGTTATGAATGAGGGTTCCTAGTCACCCTGGTGCAGGCATCGACTCCGCTATAGACTTAGTGACTGAAAAGAACACCGAGAGCCTACGTATCCCGAAGGGTCCATGTGCCCAAGCAGTATATAGATTGGCCCCTGCACAGATACTTGGGACGAATTTTATACTATTTGGGTACATGGACCCCTAAATACCCTAAATCTCCCTAAACCCCTATGGTACCCCTTATAGAACCCTTAAAGGAACCCTTTAAAGGAACCAAAGTTTAGACTATTTGGGTACATGGACCCTTAGGGTATTGCTGACTGGGGCCCGCAGGATTGCTTGCTTGAGGGTTGGAGGATCATGGGACTGAGTAAGTATGGTTATAAGTACCCTAATTGGGTTTATAAGTAGTTATAAGTATAGTTACCCTAATAATAACCTTAGTTACTAAGTCCCATGATCCTTTAACTACCCTAGCCCCTAAACCCTAGACCCTAAACCCTAATAATAACCTTATTAGTTACTAAGTCCCATGATCCTTTAAGTAAAGCTCTTTGGGGAGGGAAGCGGTGGCTATCGGGTTACTGCTACTGTTTCTCAAGGTCCCTTACTGTAGCCGTGGTTTACGGTTTAGGGTTTAGGGTTTAAGGTACATTGTGGCCCCAAGCCCAATTGTGAACATTAAGGCCCGGTTCTTCTGGTGTTTGACAACTGGACGGCTGGCTGTTTTTGAGGTTCTGAGGTTCAGAACGCTGCCGGGGGGGAGAGGTTTGAGGATCAGGAGCCCTAGTGTCTAGAATCTAGAAGCCTTTATCAACCCTAAAGCACAACCATTATCAGGGTTCAGGGTATATATATGTATACATATATATATATATATATATATAGGGTTTTAGGGTGTGTAGACAGTGTGCGACGTCTTTTACTTTCGGAATTGGGGGCGTGCCAGGTGCACCTAAACGAAACACCCGCTTGCGTCAGCATGTAGTCCTTTCCCAACCACTCCAACCATTCTAAATCAGGGTTTATAAGGTTCATCCCCCCAACCCCCCCTCCCCCCAAAAGGGGCTTTCTTGCTCCCTGCTTCCCTTAACAGTTCTACGTAAAACGACCACATTTGACATGTCACAGCCAACTTCAGCTGAGATAGATTGGTATCGGGTTGTGGGTCCTCGCGGCGTGTGCCGGCCGCTCGACGAGAAGCAAGGGTTTCCAACAAACACGCCTCACCCTCACGCTTTGTAAGGTCTGTTCGAAAGCGAAATATCGAATCCTGAAAGGTTTGTAAAGCCGGCTTTGCAAATTTTGGGGGCCCACCAAAAGCAGAACAGTGTCGAATTCACATCCCGGGTAATCTAGAGCAGGTACACACAAAGGAACGGTGGTACCTTGACCCTCGACATCGACACGGCCCCGCTAGGGTGCCGGCGGAGTGTATTTGCGATTTTTTGGGACGGTGATGGGTCCAAATTACTACTGCCTGATTGTTCACTTAAAAACGGCCCAAGTACCGATATGAACAATCAGGGTGTCGACACGTAAATAACAACGAGCATTTCGACCCTTACCTGCCGACGCTGAACCAACGAACCTTGATCCCCGGATTCGGATACGGCTTGCGGTTTTAGTGTCAGGAAAAGAAGCAACCTTAAACAGTCTGTTGTTGGGGTGTAGATTTTCAAGGTTTAGGTTTCAGGGGCATAGCATTCGGTGTTCAGCATGTAGCGATGTAATCATTTCAAAAAGCCCGGTACCCCTAATCTGAGGAAGAACCAAATCCGTACTTCCTTCAATTTGTACTTTGAACTCAGAAATAGTCATGGCTTGTCCTTCTTTATAAGGTTATAGCAAGTTATGGGGACTGGGCTGTATCTTGAGCTACGTAGGTTGCAAGCGTGAGTTGGTTCATTCAAATTGTAACCGGTACGCCACGACGGCAACCATCGCCATAATCTGAGGACCCCAGAAAGATGTACCTTGTGCATACCAGAAACTCGTGCACTGTACTGCCGCGTTGGCATTGTTTGCTGAAAACCATACACAAGAGTCGCCTTTGTAACATCACTTTCCGTCTCAGCTCAATATGTTTTCGATGCTGCGTTGTTGCTGTCTTGGATGTTGCAGTTCTTGAAGTTAGAACCCAGCACGATTTTGAGGAAACAAAGGAGCTTCAGTACAGATCAGGTATGGCATGCACAATCTTGGGAGTCTAAAATTCATGCTTGCTCGTTGCCCTTGGAGTCAGTGTTCTTAAATTTAAACTTTACACCATAACGAGCTTTTAAAGTTCGGCTGCATTGCGTGCAGTCGGGCTGTTTGCGTTGGAACCATCCAAATACTCCAGATGGGAAGGTCTCATGGCATCGAATCACACAGTGATTTGAGCAGGGTGCCGGTGCAGCATAGCTCGGTAATATTCGGTGTATCTGTTTCTATATCTATCTCACCAAATCTGTTTTTAAGTGTTTCTCTAACTACCCATATGAATACTTCTCTACCAGACTATCTATCTATCTAACTACCCATATGCATATTTCTCTACCAGACTATCTATCTATCTATCTATCTATCTATCTATCTATCTATCTTTTTGTCTTTCTATCTATGGATAAGGAGTGTAAGAGGGAATCGTCGTACTTCAAAGTTTTCAGATCTGTATCATATGTAGCCTTGAATCCTATGTAAGGACTGTAAATCCCGAAAGCCCAATATTCGAAACCTTAGACACGTTCGAAAACTTAAATGCTTCAAGATTCGGCACATCCCCGATAACCATTGTGTATCTCACAACCTGTATAAAGGCCACAAAACACGCTAAACCCGCAGCCATGGGGACCGTAGCACCCACGTATTACCCGGTACCGGAACACGTTCTCCTTGGACCAGTACGGGTCCCTTAACGAAGCCTCAGCCTAAGACCCTGAAACCTTGTGCCTGGGCAGGGACCCCCCTAATATGGAACGGCCTGGGAGCCTCCAGCAAACAGATTTCAAGGGCCTAGGGGGCCCTGCCCTGCCCTGCCCTGCTGTTGCTGCATGAACGAGCTTAAGTGAAGAAGAGAACCATGGAATGAGCTTAGAGCTAAACCCTAACAGGAATAGGTTTGGGTGGTTTGGCCGCCTCAGACGGTGTGGGGTGGGAGAGAGAAAGGAAAGAGCCCTCCACATTCGGGCTCCAGCAGCGAATCATCAAACCACGATACTTCCGCTTATGCACTACTCTACGGCAAACCCTAAACCCTAAACATCAAGGCCTAAGCCGAGAACCTTAAAGCCTATAGAGCTGACATCCGTCCCTTCAATCCGTGGAAAGGTCGGCGTGGACAAGTTTCTTCAGTTCTCGCCGGAGGCTGTTATTGGTTCTTGGGGTTTGGGAGGCTGAGAATGTCAATATTTAGGTGGCCCAGTCTTCAGTGTTTAGGAGGTTCACTCATGTGGAGCCGACACCCTAAATTTGCTTAATCCTGCGTAATTTCTCTCAAGCAGATCATGTCGCTGCGTAATCGGCACCTTCTATTTCCTGGTGCACTGTTGATTACGCCACGCCGAGCCGTTGATAGGATGCTTATGAAAGTTTTACCGTGCTCTACACATCAGTGGTGTGTTAATATGTTCGACCTTCAATGTACCAATCACAAACATGAGGATTCTCCGGGTCGGATCCCTTGGTGGCAAGCCCCATGTGTGCCTACACAACGTGGAGCCCCGCAGCGGAAAGCCGAAACGCCAGAAGTGGCTGGTGAATGCCATGTGGGAATGCATGTGGGTTGAAGTAATGTCTGGGGACCTCTGAACCAAAAGACCTTCGAACTCTTCAAACCCACCCCGTAGAACGGGGCTACAACACTCAATATTCGAAGATGCCCCACTGTGTAAACCCTAAACCCGACTACACGTGTACAAATACTTGATGAAACCAAAATGAAGCAGGCCCAAGACCCATTGCAATGCGAAGAAACACCCACCGGAACTTTGAACTCCTAAACCCTACACCCCGACAGAGACCTAGAAAATCCTTGAGTCTTAAATCTTGGACCTAGACCTTGTGAAGATCTTACTTAGACCAGAAAGATTCTACAAAAACGTTAGACCCTAAATCTTAAACCCTAAACCCTAAACCAGACCCCGGATCCTAGACCCAAATAGAGCCCTCGAAAGATGTTCGGGAAGCCAAGCGCCCCAAACTCCAAACCTCTATTTGAACCCCGTAAGAACCTATCTTTTTAGTGCTCCTGCTTCTGATTTCCTTATTTAGTTCTTTAAAGAGTTAGGTTACTTGGCTTCAGGTAAACCCTAAACCCAAATAGAACAAATGATCTGCACCTTAGACTCTACACCCCAGATCGAACCTTAAATCCTGCCCTTTATATAGACCCGACACTCAAACCCCTAATCCCCGAACCTTAAACCCAAATAGAAGCCTGATAGAACCCTGTAAACGGCATAGCAGGAGCTTCCTTATGGCGGGTCGTGGAAACTGCTTCTTGACCTTGAAATCTAGGGTTTAGGGTGTTTAGGGTTTAGGCGTTTTAGGGTTCAGGGTTTTGCGGGTGAGGGTTTAAGACTGGGGCTTTTGGGGTTTTAAGGGTTCTCGAGTTCTGGGGGTTCTGGTTTAGGTGTAGTTGTTTTTGCCTTTCGACTGGAGTCAGTTTCAGTTGTGTTCGGAGCGGGTGCTCGAGCCTTGCTTGTTGTTGCCTCATACGAAAGTACTTCTGAGGAGGCGTGCCGTGGGTGGGGATAAGCAGGGCTGATGGTATTTTGTAAGTTGCTCAACGAATCGGAAATGAGTGAGATGTGTAGCTTTAGTCGGCTTTCAAGATCCTAAACCCTACACTTTAAACCCCTAAACCCTAAACCCTAAACCCTAAACCCTAAACCAAAGCCCAAACCCCTATTGAGCTTCCTTCATTTTTCGAGCTCTGTGTCTTGCTTCGTGATTTTGGGATCTTGGGTTGGAGCTGAGGTTTGGCGTAGGTCCCGGACCCGCGAAGCATGTGGGAGTTTCAGAAAATTAGGGTACCTTACTTTGGGGTCCTTATAATAGGGATCCTATTATTTAGGGTGCTATATTAGGGTCCCCTACAATCGGAAACCCCCATGTAGAATCATAGTTCCTTATAGGTTTTGGGCCATGGTACTCCTTTTTGGGGGTTCAGGTATGGCTAAGGTTTTGGGCCATAATTTTACTTCTGTTTGGGGGTTCAGGTATGGCTAAGGTTTCGGGGCATTATTTTACTTATTTCTGGGGTTCAGGCACGGCTAAGGGTCCAGGGAATTGGGGTTTAGGTGTTTAGGGTTTAGGGGTTTTAGGTTTTTTTCGGTATATAGGTATAAACTCGAAAACCATGAAGCCTAGCGGAGCATTGCTCCCGACCCTTCTGCAGCGGGAGTCCCGGTTTCAGCGGAAGTCTGAGCTGGACTTCCCCTAAACCCTAAACCCTGAATGCCGGGAAGGAGGGCATCGACCCCTAAACCTAAACCCCTTAACCCCCAAACCCCTTAAACCCTAAACCCCTAAAGCCCTAAGCCCCTACACCCCTAAACCCCTAAAACCCGTAAAACCCCTAAACCCCCTATAACCCCTAAAACCCCTAAACCCTACACCTCTAAACCCCCACAAACCCTAAAGTTAAGGAGGGTCGGAGGAGGTTGCGGGAGCAATCCCTAGACCCCCCAACTACCCTCTAATATACCCCAGATACCTACGATTAGGGACCATAAGGGCTTCATGAAAGGGCAAACCCTAAACCCTAAACCCGACTATTAGGGACCATCAGGGCTCCATGAAAGGGCCCTTGGGGGGTCCTGGTCTCTGGTCTTGCAGACGAAGACATCAGAGGGGAGGCCAAGGGTGCTGACCTTCGCAGGTCCGCCGGACAAGGCTTAGGGGTTTAGGGGTTTAGGGGTTTACGGGTTCAGGGGTTTAGGGGTTTGGGTTTTAGGGTTTAGGGGTTTAGGGTTTTAGGGGTTTAGGGTTTAGGGGTTTTGGGGTTTTAGGGTTTAGGGGCTTGGGGGTTTAGGGGTTTAGGGGTTTAGGGTTTCGGGTTTAGGGGTTAGGGCTTTAGGGGTTTAGAGGTTTAGGGTTTAGGGGTTTGGGCTTTAGGGGTTTAGGGGTTCAGGGTTTAGGGTTTAGGGGTTTGGGTTTAGGTCTTTAGGGGTTTAGGGGTTTAGGCGTTTGGGTTTAGGGATCACATGAGGCTGTGTTGACCTTGCCATGCGCGTGTGCTGCATTGGGGACTCTCCTGGAGCGACGTTCGGGACAGGCGCGAACAGAAAGGCCTTGCTAGAGGTCTGTGTGGAGTGAAATCACCCCTAAACCCTAGACCCTATAGGGTTCCCCGGCAGAAGAGTGTGGGTTGCAAGTTGGATCACGGGTGATCAAGATCGTGGACGAAGACCTCCGGGAGATTGACTACGTTCATCCGGCACCAGCTCGGGACAGCAGTTAGCTAAACCCTAAACCCTAAACCCTAAACCTGAAGTTAGTGACTTATGTTCAATGTAACATGAATAAGCTTCTGAGCAGGTCCGGAAACCTTGGACTGAACCCCAAATGGAAAAAAAACCCTTGCAATCGGTAAGAGTTTGTTTATCCTCAAAGCCTAAACCCCGCGACCCCAGATCCTGCAACCCTAGAAATCGCCAAGCTCCTCACCCAAGAGTCCGAAACAGTTTTTCAAATGTGCGCAAGCCTTAGCAACACCTATCCCTAAGGGTCCATGTACCCAAATAGTATATACTTTGGCCCCAAAGTACCTATATAGAGACTGCATTGAGGCCAAAGTATATACTATTTGGGTACATGGACCCTTAATTAGGGTATCAAATCCAAGCCTTGACCCTACCCACACCCCGTCCCCTCAGGTGCTACTGCGCCGGTTTCGACTCCCCACTGGATCAAGAAGCACAAAACTGCGTCTCTGAAGCGGACCCACCCTGCAAGAATTTAGGTGGTTCGGTTTTTGGGTGTAGGGTACCGGTTTGGGCACTAGGGTTTGCCCCTAACGTTTTCGTCGCCACATCAGTATCGTAATTATAAGATATCGCATATCGTATGTGTACATGTATAACTACATACTTACATGTATGTATAGAATGCGTATAACATATATATATATATATATATACATATAAATATATATATGTATACATACACGTTATTGTGTTTCTTTGTGTTGCTGCGCTCAGCTACGAAACGGTTCAGCTGTGGTGTTCGGGTTCTAGGGTCTGAAGTTTAAGGTCACGCATTTCGAGTTCGAGTTTTAGGGGTTGGGGCTTGTGTTTCGCGTGCCAGCTTCACCTAACCACAGACTCAAATAACAGTGGTGCCGATTAGTCCCGGCTTGAGGCTTACCAGCTTGTTGCAATGAGGTTGTTAGGCTCGTCCTAACCCTAAGGGTCCATGTACCCAAATAGTATATACTTTGGCCTCAATGTAGTCCCTATATAGGTACTTTGGGGCGAAAGTATATACTGTTTGGGTACATGGACCCTTAGGGTAAATCTAGTTAAACAGGACTTCTTCCTGTCTCGGGCCTTTCTTGGTCCGAGAAGTTGGCTGATGTTCGGTCCGGATTCTTGTTTGCGGCTTCGAGGTTTCGTGGTTTGTTGTGGACGAGTTGAGGGTTACGAAAATGGGGGTTCAAGTGTTTTCGAAGTGTTTAAACAGCTTCGTCGATACGTAAAAAAATGGTAACAGCACAGAATGTAACATCCCTTCTCTACGGACAACTCGCAGCAATCTCAGTAGTCCTGAAACTCCCATCTTTGAATGCGAAGCAGCCCGGAATCTGCGTCTGCTAATACTTTCGTCTCATAACTTCCTTATCTTTACCCATAGGCCCTAAAGTAGTTCCTTTTGGGGGTTCATGTATAGAATCCTATAAGGTAAACCCCAAAAGGAACTACTATAGGGCCTACGGGTATCCTTGCTAATGTGTCAGAAAGTAGTGAGTATAGGGTTTCACCTAGGCACATGGAAGGAGCTTGGTTGCCTTCGTTCCCGCCACTGCCAGGACTTCACCGCGACGGCTGGGTTCTTGACCGTCGCAGCCTATGCAAACGCATCGAGCCCCAAAGCGGAAAAAAAAAAAAAAACTCTGATACACCCCCATGTTGAACTCTGCTCAAAATCCGTACAACAGGTTGTCAATCCCGTAGATGGCCTTACAGTAGGGGCCTCGCCGATGTCGAGACCTGTCCTTCCAAAAACCTACGTCTCCCAAAGCCCTAAACCTTAAGCCCTAA